TCAGGCTGACCTTAGTACCGGGTTAAATCAATTTCAACCGGGAATTAACATTGTTACCGGTGGTATTTTATATTATGATCCAAAAAAGGATCGGGAAGAATTGGCAAAAATGGTTATTGTTATGTGCTTACCCTATAGTTTTCCTTCTAACCCTCACTTTGTGCATTATATTAGAAAAGTTTATAATCCTACTTATAAATATTTTCCTCGCACAACCATAAAGAGTGATATTTATAAATATAAACATGAATATGAAGAATATTTGCACTATTTATTTACTAATATAAATTATCGTGTTGCCATTACAACTGATATTGGTAGAATTGGTAATGACTGTGATTACCTTACTATTACCAGTCATTGGATTGATGAGGATTGGATAATGCAAAAGCGCATTATTGCTTATAGAATAATTAATTCACGTCACACAGGGCAGTTTATTTCTAGCACGATTACGGATATTTGTAGATATTTTTGCATTAGTGATAAAATAATGTCAGTTTCAATGGATAATGCTACTAGTAACACAAATGTTGTAGCCTTGCTTACCACTACACTAAGTCCTGCATTTAGTAACATTTTTCATGTTAGATGTATTTGTCATATTTACCATTTAATTGTGGGTGATGGTATGCGAATTTTAAATGTTGAAATTGAAAAGGTTAAAATGGCTCTTAATTGGCTTTTTTATTCAAACCGTAGAAGTAGACTTAGAGAATATTTTAAAAGATGCGATGAATTTGGCCTAAGAGAAAGAAAGGTTCCTAAACCTTGTCCAACTAGATGGAATTACATGTATGAAAGTTTAATTGTTGCATATGAATATAGAAATCCCATAAACTCAATGTTTAATGCTCATGTAAGTGATGATGATGAGCACCTTACAAATACGGATTGAGCTAATGTTAAAATACTTGTAGATTTTTTAGAAAAATTTCATATTGCTACAAATGAATTTTCTGGGCAATATTATCCTACTATTTCTAAATGTTTAGTTTATATTGCCGAACTTGCAAATTTGTTTGATCATTTTTTAGAGGGTAGGAAAATTTATCAACTTGCTATTGACTCTATGAGAAAAAAGTTTAAAAAATATTTTTTCCCTATTCCCCCTATTTATGGTGTTGTTGCATTATTAAATCCTACTATGAAATTAGGAGGTACTCAATTTTGGTATGAAACTTTTTATAATAGTTTAGCACTTGAAGATGAGGAGTTGTCTAAACTTCCGGACGCAATAGCCTCAATTAAAATAAATGTTCAAACTATTTATAATGCTTATCAAGTTGCATTAGATCATGCTAGACCAAATGTTCCAACTCCTTCTTCTTCTAGTTCTCAATCATCTAAAAGAACTGCAAGAGTAAGAGCACTTAGTGCTTGGGCGGGGTTCAGGGGTTCTCAAGGTTCTAATACTAGTGATTTTTCACAACTAAATGAGCTTGAAGTTTATTTGTCACAGGGAATTGAAGAAGTGAATCCCGACGGCTCATTTAATATTTTGGATTGGTGGAAGGACAAAGAAAAATACTTTCCGATTCTTTCAAAGATGGCCCGAGATATTTTAACTATTCAAGCATTGACAGTGGCATCAGAGAGTGCTTTCAGTCAAGCAAGACTTCAACTCGATGATTATAAAGCGTCTATGAGGGAGAGCTTGGAAAAATTAGTACTTTTCAGAGATTGGATCCGTTCGGAAAGAAGAAATTTTGGACTTGCTGAATCACAACCAGAGGTAGACGAAGCTTACGAAGAAATGCTAGCTGAACTTGCGGAGGATGTTGTTTCACCTGGAAGCGGTGATGACCAAGCTTCTTTTCTGCCACCACCAACGAAAATTCCTCCGGACCTTAAAGGATTTATGAAATTTGTAAGAGATACCATGTAACTTATATGAACAAAAATTAATATGTAACTTATATTTTGGCACATCTTGATTAGTTTCTTTTTCTTCTCAATGGTGGTATTAGCACCTTGTTGTGCTCATTCCATATGGGGAGGAAAACTAAGAAAGATATTGCCATGTTCTTTTAATGCTATAATAAATTTATAACGCATTGCTTTGAATATCTCTTTAAAATATTTTTGTCTTTAAATTTGAATTAAAAAATTTAAGTCACAATTCTATAATATAATTTACAAGGAATTGCCTTAGATATTGTTATTACTATTTTTTTTCTCTAACTTCTATCAAAAAATTTAAACAATAGAAAGTATCCATTGGGCCCACTTAACCCGGGACAGTTAGTTCGTGATCCCTATCCCGGGTCGGTTCCAACAAGAAGCCCGCGAAGTCCGGGACCACTTAGGACCGGCCCACTTAGGACCGGCCCCACAAAACCCACTTAGGACCAGGCCCGGCCCACATGCCATCCTTATTTGTGAATAAAGAGTCACTTGCTTGACTATGTCTTGCTGCCACGTTGGGATTCAAGGCTTATCCAAAAGATTTCAATTAATTATCCCTCAACTTCTTAATTAACTAGGTAATATCCCATTACTCAATAATTAACTAATTATCCACATAATTACTTAAAATACTACTTACTTTTAACACCTCTTATACACCTTACTATTATGGTCATGTGGTACCTTGTATGACACTAGTCTATAAATACGGGGTATTATAGCTTAGACCGTATTTTACCCCAAAATGTCAAATTTTGGCAAAACTCATTTTCTTTGATTCGTTTACCCTTTCACCTTCACAAAGTTACTCATCATTTGTTTGAAATTGCATAATACTTTAATCTCCAAATAATCTTGTCCTTGAACTGATGTCAATTATCTTACGACAAATTCAACGTACAATACTACATGGTGTAACATCATCGTAATAAATTACTGCGGAGCGTAACATCGTCGTAATAAATTACTGCAGAGCGTAACATCGTCGTAATAAATTACTACGGAGCGTAACATCGATGTAATAACGTGAGGCGTAACACTTTCCCTTTACTTTCTTCCCTCCATTTTCCCTCCACCCATCTTTTAATCCCAACAATAGATACCTCAATTCATTAGCAATCATTTTAATGAAAAACAATCAGAATTTCACCTTTCACATGAGCAAAATTTTGTTTCTTTTAATTTTCTAAACTCAGCTTTTTATGTCTTTCAAACAACGACACTTCTAAAAATTCGAAAATTCAGTTTTTAAATTTAGAACATGAAAAACAAACCGCGACCTATTTATTTGCAATTGAGGACATGAAACAATAAAAAAACACTGAACCTGCTTCGTACGCGATACGTCAGAAAGATCAATACTCTTGTCCTTTTCTACTCTTAGGTTTGATTATCTCGTAAATATTTTAATTACAAAACTCTTCATTTTATTAGTGGTATACCATACCACTAACAATAAAAAAACAGGGGGTTGGGGTGTTTGGGGGTGGTGGTGGAATGAACTCCAATATTACATAATAACAAATCGAATCTCATACTATTTATTAAAGAATATATCCCAACTATTATTTAATTCCAAAAGATAATTAAAAGTAGTTGTTGAGAAAAGTGTCAATACAGTTTAATGAGTTGGTTCTTAATCTTATTCTAAAAGGGGAGCCACAATTATGATTAAGAAAGCTGATCATCTTTTGTTGTTCTCTCTTGGCATTCGCACATTATACCATTATATGTAGAAGAAAAAAAAAATCCAGCTCATCCGCCCTAACTTAAGAAGAAAAGTTGTCAACATAAAAATAATATTTTTTTGGTCGTGTTAAAAGCTTAATAATATGAATAAAATGAAAGAGAAAGAGAAAGATTAGAAAAAAGACAAAAGGGCCACGGAGCGATACGAGCTTAAGACTTTTTCTTTAGAAATAATAATTGACATATTGACGAAAAAAGAAGTAATTGGTATACATACAATAAAAGAGAGGAATCATTTTAGCAAGCAATGGTGGGGAGGTTGAATATTTGTAGCTTGTAGGTCTATAACTGGAAAAGTGAAGGAAGTAGCACTATTTTTAACGGTATTATCAATTAATTTTGGCAAAAAATAAACAGTACTCAATTCTCAAAAATTGAATGCAGGTCCCTGAACAAATTTTCCATCTTCCGTTGCAGCTGTGCACTGTGTATCCATTAATTCCCACACGTTTACACTTTACAACGCAACGAATTTATATTTTATATTTATAGTGTTTTAATAAATTTATCTGACATAATTTGAATTAGCAGAGCTAGTAAATTTAGAATATGTTAGAGAGCTTTTAATATTTTTTATTAATATTATATATATATATATATATAAAAACTTATTTTTGCTATTACTCTTTTTTTTTTGTTTTAGCATGATTATAATATGAGTTAAGCTTAAAAGAAAAAGAAGTAAGGTGACTCCAAGTTTATTTAGGATTGATGCATAGTTATTTGTTACTGTTTATTGTAGAAAAATTCGACCGCACACCTAAACTCTAATAAAATATATGCTTATTCCCTGTCCATCTAATTGAATACAAGTTTTAGAAAATGAAATTCATAATACAATAACAACCCAGTATAATTTACTAGTACGGTTTGAGAGGGTAGTTTGTACGCAGACCTTACCCCTACCCTTGGATAGAGAGTTTGTTTTCGTTAGACCCTCGATTTCTCTATCTCCAAAAACTCTCCACCTTTTTATTGGGGTTCGAATTCACAACCTACTATAAATTCATAATATTAGTTATTTTTTATTTTTCGTTTAAATTCTACTCGGCCGTCCTAGTATTTTAAGCAGACAAATTGACGCGATCTGCGCCTCCTAATTCTCCAGCCAGTCACGGAGTATTAATTGCTTTCAGATCCAATGTTCCTCTTTTCAGACATTACTTACAGTTTATTACTAATTCACCCCTTAATCAAATTTACTGTTTCACTAATCACTTTTAAGTCAAAACTACACTTCCTTATGGTAAGTGGTAACTTAGAAAAATAAAATTGTAATTGCACCGATAATATAAACTATTTAGACGGTTTGGTGTATATAACGTAAATTCTTTTTTCTAACCATATCTCCTCCCCAAAGAAGCCCCTTAAACCCAAAACCCATTGCCCAATTCCCCCCTAAATCCCAATTCAGGTTTGACGTTACAAAATAAATACAAACTTAATCTTTAAGCGCTGACTGCCTCTCTTGCCCCTCAACCTCTGTTCCACTATGTGAAAACAAGTCCTACAAAATATTCTAAAGAATAATTAATGAAAAACAAATAGTAAATATAAAGTAAGTACATGTCACATTAATTATGGAAGGCCTTAGTCACTTGCATACCTCTATGAACTACAATAGAATAAGTATCAGTTTTGTTTTAGAATAGTGCAATTAAATGCATGCATTTACTATATCCTAAGAGAGTTCAAACCCAGAATAAATTTTTACCAGATTGATAGATACCCCATTAACATTATTTTTTAGGAGTTTTTTTTTTTTTTTTTTTTTTT